CGGCTGAAGCACACGAAACGAAAGCCAAAACTCAGATTGAGCCTCGTGCAGAATCCAGGCTCCAGCACAAGAGCCCAGCCAAGGCCACACCTCCTGGTTTGGCAAGGCCTGGGTGCCTGCTGCCACCCAGGCAGGGCACCCTGTGGTTCCCCAGGCCAGTTAGCAAGCCATCCAGGTGTGCTGGAGGACCAGGCAGCCAGGACAATTCAGGGAAGTGACCCCTCTTCATTTCACAGTGCCTGCCCCAACAAGCATTGTGAATCACCCACTGGCCACAGTTGCTGGGGCAGGCGGGGGGGGGGGGGGGGGGGGGGGGGGGGGGGGAGGGGGGGGGCGCAGAAGGAAGTGAGGTGCTTACTCAGCCCTCCTACTGCACGTGGCTGTGTTTGCAGCCTCCCCCCACACACAGCTGGGGGAAGCAGTGTGGGAGGAAACAGAAGGGGTCACACCCCCTGTCTCCTGCAAAGTTGCACCTGTGTCCCATGGACCCTGCCACCTGTTGCCCAGCTGAGTAGGAGCCGGGTCCTCTAGCTCCTGGGTGGCAGAGTCAGGAGAGGCTGTGGGGGAGGGTGGGGAGAGGGGGCGTTGTGGGGGAGGGAGAGTGGGAGTTGGGGGGAGGGAATGGCAGGTCTGACATCTATTAAGTGTCCCATTGGTCTCTCACTACCGAGTCCCTGACCACAAGAAATCTGTGTATTGTTTTTTCTCTTTGGCAAATAAGAAAGTAATAGCTCAAAGAATATTAGTAATAATGACCCAACCTGGCGATGGCAACCTGGCGGTGGCAACCTGGCAGTGCCAGGACTTCTGCTGGAGCCCTTTACACAGTAGGTACAGGGTTGGGGAGATGGCTCGGTCAGTAAGTGCTGCCCTAGCCATGCAAGCGTGAATGCCTGAGCTGGATCCCCTGAACTCATGTTGACAAAAACACCAAAACCAAAGCTGGGACCTGATAGCGCCTGCCTGTAGTCCCAGCCCCGGGCAAACAGAGACAGGAGGATCCCTGGGGTTTGCTGGCCAGTCAGTCAGACTGTACTGGTGAGCTCTTCTCCAAAAATAAGATGGAACGGTTGAAGAGATGCCTTAGCAGTTAGGAGCACCTGTTGATCTTCCAGAGGACCTGAGTTCAGTTCTCAGCACCCACACTGGGAAGCTCACAACTGCCAGGAACTCTAGCACCAGGGGATCTGATGTCCTCTCCTGGCCTCCTCAGGCACACATGCAATGCATGGCATTCGCTCACATGTACATGTGTTATGCACACCTCTGCCTGCTCACACGTGCATACACACACACACACGTTTGCAGGGAGATTGGGAGGTACAATAGTGGTCCATTTACTAGATGAGAAAACAAGGCCTAGAAAGGTGGAGGAGGGGGGACTGGAGAGATAACTCAGTGGTTAAGAGCAGTGGCTGCTCTTTCAGAGGACCTGGGTTCAATTCCCAGCACCCACATGGCAGCTCACAACTGTCTGTAACTCCAGTTCCAGCGGCTCCGACTCCGTCACAAAGACATGCAGGTCAAACACCAATGCGTATAAATTAAAAAAAAAAATAGGCAAAAGGAAGTGCTTGCTCTTAGTCATACCATCTGTGAGGAGAAACATCAGTGGTTGATGCCATGCTCACAATTCTCAACTCTTCCTACCTCCACCAGGTAACCCTCTCACAGCACGGGCATCCTCTGTAGATCTCTCAGGTCTAGCCATGCACCTTCAGCTTCAGACTCCAAGCTGCCTGCGTGCTGTCCAGCGGGATCCCCTGACCATGGGCCTCTGTCCCACACCCTTTTCTGAGTGGCCAGGTATCCTCAGGGACATCCCTAAGATGGGTCTCCTCCTGGCTCTTTGTCACTCTGACTCTAGTTTCATTTGGTGTGTGTTTCAGGTCCCCCTAGGGACCTAGAGGACATGTATGAGATGAAGTGGGTTTCTGGAGGCACTTCTTGTTGGGGGTACCCAGTTTCCACAGAAAGCAGGAGAGCTGTCAGCTGGAAGAGGAGAAGGTGAAACTGAGGGGAAAAGGACGGACTATTTTCGGGCTGGTGGCTGGAGTGTGGGCGTGAAGAAGGACAGAGGTCTGCCTGCAGAGAATGAGGCAGCCCTGGGCCCTTCCTTGCCTTTCACCACCCTTGGTGGCCCCAGGCTGCCTCCAGGGTTGTAACAGCAGCTGCTGGTGAGGCAAGCTGACCGCTTCCCAGGAGAGCGGGAGGAAGGAAGGGTTGCTCTTAGAGCGGGGGCATGCTGCATCTCGAGACTACATGGCCATTCATTCTCTGGGTTCCCAAGCAGATTGCCTTCTGGCCCTCGTGGGGCTCCAAGCCAGGCCTCCAAGGCCTTTTGCAATCAGGATGGAATCAGCCACCAGCTGTCATGGTAACATTCATCTCTTTAGCACATCCCAGAAAAGCAGGGAGACACAGCCCAGAGTGCCAGGAGCTCAGAACTGTGTAGGGATGGGTAAGTCCAGGGGTGTGCCAGGACCAATCTCACAGACCAGGCCTCGGAGAAGGGGCCCTCTTTGGCCCGGTGCTTTCTTCCCGTTCTTGCCTCTTCCCGGCAGAGTCTCCTGGGTCTGGCCTAACTAAGTTGGCTTCTAGCCAAGCTGGCCAGCCTCCAGGTGGATTCGGGACAGACAGCTGGGATGTGGTGTTTCCCGCTCCAAAGAGATGGAGGCTGGAGATGGGGCCACAAAAGGGCTGCTCCATCTCAGCCGGATGCTGAGGCCAGGGATGGTTGGACTGGCTTTGGTGGAAGTTTCCCCAGGAGGATGTGTCAAAGGGTCAAAGCCGGGTTGACCTGGGCACTTCTAGGTGTCCTCTGTCTGGAGAGGGAAACAGATGACCACTGCCCCTGAGACCTGAGTGGGTTTCGTGGCCAGCCAACAGGCCTTGGAAGCCTCCTCAGCCTTGTATCTCCTGATGGTTCTCACTCAGGAAGACAGTCTCTCTTTTCCCTGTGGTCAGGCCGGTAGGGCCTGGGGTAGTATCAGGCACTGTTTGGAGCCTCTTTCTCATTTGTCCCAGGGGACTTTGTCATAGCTGCCTGGACTCTACGATTCTGGCACAGACACTGTGTTCAGCTCCTCAGGACAACCTGTGCTTGGCTCTATGGGGCATGCACAAATGAGTAACACTGTCACCCCCCACCCAGCCATGCAGCTGCCAGGTTCAGTTTGGGTCACCCTTCCTGTCCCTTCTTGCCTGGACACCTCTGCTTCATCCCTGAGGCCAGCGTTAAGTGGAAAGCTGTCTCCCTCTGCGTTACTCCAGGCTTAGCCTCCCTCACTACCCCTCCCCCCTGCTGCCCAATCTCGGATCCCTTGGCCCAAAGCACAGGGCAGGCACTGTTGTGACTGAAGCCTCCCAAAGAGCCATTTGGATCCTGACACTATGACTCCAGAATGCCCCAGGCTCCCACTGCAAAAAGCCCTTTTATGCTAGTCAGCTTGGTCACCCTGAGGAACCTACCATCCAAATGAAGTCTCCACTGCCCTTGGCTTCCCTGGTGCACACCCCTGCTCTTGGAATAGCTGCCACCAGGCTTCGCTTATTAAAACTCTCTCTGTTGCAAGACCTGGGGTCTCCTAGTCCAAGGAACCTGGTGGCTCCCAGAGGCCAATGGATTTTGAACAACTCCTCCTGCATTTTCCAAAATTTTGAAGGCAGTAGCAGCTAGTGGCCTATGATTAATCTCTCTCTCTCTTTCTCTCTCGTGTGTGTGTGTATGCGTGTGTAGTGTGCCATTGTGTTGAGATGAACATGCTATGAGAAAGCATGAGCACGGAGACATGATCTACATGTGTGTTTGGAAGTGTGTGACAACATGCCTGTGTGCCAGAGAGTGTGCATGTAGACACAGGTAAGCATGAGCTGGGCACTCATGCCACCCACTGCACATGTGCTTTGATGCATTGAGGGAACGTGCTTGTATGTGGAGAGCAGACCCAGTGTGCCCGTGGGCTATGCATACCGATGGCCTTCTTTCAGCCCAGCCCTCGGAAGGAAGAGGCCAGCTAGTCTGCTCTCTACATTCCTACCTCCAGGAGAGGGAGGAGGCATGTGCAATATGTCCTGCCCTTTGACAGAGAGAAACGCAGCATTCCTGTTAGGTCGCAAGGCTGCTGTGTCCTGGTCCCTGGTCTCCAGCCCTCAGCATCCCTCCCCTTACTAGTTGGCAACCAAGACTAGGTAAATACAGCAGGGGTCTAGCAGGAGGTGACAGCATTGCCCGGGTCCCCGGGGCAACAGGATCCCTCCCGTAACCTGTGAGGAGTGATGGGGTTGGGCTTGTCAGTGGATGTTGACAGGTCAGGGTACCCAAGAGGCATAGATTTATGATGTCCACTCTGGGGAGTGAACTTCAGAAGAAGAAAGCAATGATTTAATGCTGGAGAGGGACCTGTGCTAAACTACCTTAGACGAAACAGGAAATACACTCTCAAAGGATGTTAAGGAGCCGGGACTTGGTGGTACCTGTCTGCAAAGTCAGCACACAGGAGGCTGAAGCAAGAAGATCAAGAGTTTGGGGCTCGCGGGGACTACATAGTCAGAGCCTGGATCTGGTTGATTAATTATAGTAACTTAGACCTAAAGAAGAGATCCTGCACTGCCAAAGGCCATGCAGTCTACAACTACAGAGATCCAAGACCAGATCTGTGTCCGCCGAGCAGGCAGGAGACTTTTGACCCCCACCCCTGACTCTGTCCCTTGACCTCTGCAGGGCCCAGAGGGGAATGTGGAGGGGGCCGACGGACTGGCACACTTCTGTGCGCTGTTCTGAGTACATCTTACATTGCCCTCAGGAGCTTGCCTGCTCTCATTTTCTGGGGTCCTCCTCTCCCCGCCTAGTGGCTGCCGCAGCCATGCCCCCAAAGTGCTACCTCCCATCCTCCCTGCTGTTCCAGGGTTCAGTAAAGAAGTCACTTTACTCCACAGCAGATCACTCCACAGGCCTGGCTGCACCCAGCCTGGTCCCTGGAGCGTGGCCTTCCACCCACCTGTACTCAGAGGTCTCCGCGAGGGCAGGTAGCGCAGTGGGCACCGTCCTTCTCCCCTGGTGGTTCTGCTGAGGTGAGGGCAGTTGATGGGCAGGATCAGAAGAGCTTGGGAAGCCCCACTTCTCACTGAGGTCCCTCTTTCCATCAGGGCTTTAGGATCCCTATCTTGCCTTTCCCAGTAGCTTCCTTTTCACTCCCTAGAGTGGTCTGGGGGTGAGGCCATGTAGAGGTGCTTTGGAAGGGGAATGTAAGGGGGCACCCCACTCCTTGTGCTCCCTCCATCTCCTCTCCAGCTCCCATGCCCTCGCTGGGAGGTCTGACCCAGGCGAGCCCAGGGACAATGGGAGGAGGTCATTATTTATTATTTCTTATGTAACGGTGTTATGAAATATGAAGCCTGTACCAGGCACTACTGGGAATATAGAAAAGAGGTCCCTAGTGGTAAGAGCTTCCCATGGGTAAGTGGGTGGGCCACCAGACCATCCCGGAGAGCAGGGTTCAGGATGGCTGTATGTCTGGCGAGGAAGGACAGCGGTCTACACGGTGTGATTGTAGCTCATCATTTTGGGGATCCCTGGAGTGGCTAAGGGCTGGGTTTGGGATCCTTGCTACTCCGTACCAAACTTAGACTAGCTCTGGCTCCAGGGTGGCCCGGGTCACAGCTGGAGTTGTCACAATATTGACCCAGGAGGAGATAACATCCAAAGAGCTTAAAGTCCCAGTCAGACAAGGAGGGGGATGTCGCCGGAAAAGATCCCCGGACCCCAGGGGAATCAAACTAAATGGGACTTTAATAGGTCTCTTCCAGCTCAAATTTCACGGCTAATTGGAAGCAGGTCCTGAGCTGAGCAGAGTGGGCGGCCCTACCGGCCTGCTGGCAGCCACTCCATCCAGGAGATGAGTGGGGACTGAGGCGGGCCAGGAAGGCCACCCCTGTGCCACCCACCCACAACATGGCTGTGGGTTCACCTTTCCTTTGCTCTGCGGAGCTTCTGATTCACTGTATCCAAGGAAAAAGGTGGACACATGGCAGAGTGGATCCGAATCGATCAGCCCGCTAGGGAAACGAGCTTTAGGGCTCAGTTCAGACACGCATGAACCCATCCATCCATCCATCTATCCATCCACCCACCCATCCATCCATCCATGCACCTATCTATCCGTTCATTCATCCCATCCCATCTATCCGACCAGCCAGCTGCCAGCCCACCCACCTATCCACCCATCCACTTAGCCATCTAGCAAGTTCATTAGCAACACTTAAAGTTGCAACAATTCTGTTAAACAAAATACTGGCTTTAAATTATGTTTATTTATCTTATGTTACATGTATGAGGGTTTTGCCTGCATGTATGTATGTATGCATACCACATGCATGCTTCATGCCTGCAAAAGTCAGGAGAGGAGATCAGATTCCCTGAAACTGGGCTTACAGATGTTTGTGGGCCAACATGTGGGCACAGGGAATCAAACCCAGTTCTTCTGCAAGAATGACGACAGCTCGTCACCACGGAGCCATCTCTCCAACCCCTTCCTTGCTGTCTTATTACAAAATAAGATGTGTAGTTGCCTAATAGTCAAAGTCTACTGATGTCAAGACATAATAAGAAGAAAGTGAAAGTATTTCCCAACATACCGCCTGCACCCTGTCCCTCCCTGACACCTATTCTCTGAGGTCACCCCTGCCTATGATTTAATTTTTTTATTTTGTTTCATTTTACATTTGGCTTTTCAAAACCGGGGTTCTCTGTGTAACAACTCTGGCTGTCCTAGAACTCACACTGTACACCAGGCTGGCCTTGAACTCACAGAGACCTGCCTGCCTCCGCCTCTGCCTCCCGAGTGCTGCGATTAAAGGTGTGTGTCTGGCAAAACTGAGGTTCTTAAAGGTTCAGTGCAGCCCCCAGCCTGCGCGATCAGTCCCTGCTTTCAGCCTGCCGTAGCCTCCAGCCCCTAGCCGTAGCCAGGAAAAGGCTGGCTTGTAAGGCAGAGGCTCTAGAACCCCAGCTACAAGATAGGGAGAGGGAAGAGTAAGGTTGGAGCAGTGAGCAGGGAGGGATGGTGGGCCGGCTTGGAGGCACTGATGTTCCTCTCCATCGGCCCCTGGAACCCATCCAGCTCCCAGACACAGAGCCCAGGGCCCTGCAGGCCTGAGCAGATCAGGGACGATAGTTGGCCTTAGAGGGATTTTCAAGCCATACCTGGCAAGAGAGCAGGGAGGTTTGCTTTTCAGTGTCGGGGTGCTGCAGGCACACATCTTCATCCAGGCTGTCCCTCTCCAGCTTGTCTTGTCTAGTGCTCATTGGTGGGTGTGGCCACTGGTCCTGCTAGAGTGCTAAGAGAAAAGCCTGCCTCTCTGCTAGGACTACCATCCTTCACCCTCCTGCCGCCTCTAGCTGCACACACACACACACACACACACACACACACACACGGGCGCCTCTAGCTGCACACACACACACACACACACACACACACACACGGCTATCTATGCACACACACACACACACACACACACACACACACACACACACACACACGGGCATATGCACGCACCCATACACTCGGGAGCACCACACTGACTCACAAGGGAGAAGTCCACAGGAACGCAGCTGGCAGCAGAGACAGCAGGGGATGATTCCCTCGGGACAAGGGCACAGATGGGTGGTCTTTGGAGAACCTCCAGTGTTGAGGTCATCTGGAAAAATGTTGCATTACAGAGATCCTCCCACAGAACACTTGGGCTAGTCAAGGAAGACCCCATTCACTCATGTTCTTAGTGTCTTTGAGAAAACTATCCTGAACCAGCTGCCAAGTTGAGGGGCTTGTGGAGTCTCCTTGTGAGGCTCAGCAAGCACCAACAGCCAGGAAGTACCCCTGGGAGGGCTTATTCAGCCATCTGAGCTGGTTGGAAGTCACTGTGGGATCTGCGGAGTGGCCCAGCTTAGCCATACTGAAAGCGGAGACCCCCTACATCCAAACCCAGCTACCACCCACTTAAAAGGAGGGTTGAGGTCTTCTCTCTGCCCACAACCCCCACTCCCACCCTCACATTGCTGGTCCTGGCCAGGGCCCCAGGAAGGAAATCACTAAGAAGGATTGAGTGTCAATTCCCTTAACTAATCCGCTCAATGCACACAGGCGCAGCACGGGCTGTTCCTGCGCGGGCCCCCTCCCTGGCCCTGCAGACCCCAGCGGCTGCCCGCTGTCAGGCCTCTGCTGGGCTGTGAGACCAATTACCGCAGCCTTAATCATCACAGTGGCGGCGGTTCAGCGTTAACAACTGTCTGCCCACCAGTCTCCTTCCTGGGGCGTAGAGGAGGGGATGACCCCTAGCAGTTCTCCTCGAAGGAGCATGAAATTGTATCCCAACAACAGCGCGGTGGCCGCCATCCAGGGCAACGCCTGGCTCCCTTGCTGCCGGCTGGTCTTTTGCATGTTTGCCCGGCTCCTCTGACCACGGGACTGAGGACAGGCACTGGGCATCCTCTGAGCACTAATGTCATTGTTCCCTCCAGCCAACACTGCCAACTGCTGAGCTCAGGAAGGCGGGCACTCCCTGCCAGCCAGAGCAAATTAGGTGCCCGGATGTTGAGGTCTGTTGGCATTTCCTGTGTTGGCTTTGGCTGATGGGGCCAGACCAGTGGGCTGCCCTCTTGCCCTGAGCAGAGCCAAACAGGCACGTCCCAGTCTTGAGCCCACTGACTTCTGCCCTGTGCCCACAGGGAATCATGTTCCAGAATAAAAAAAAAAAAATAAGGTCATCTTTCCCTGCCATGGTTCATACTGAGTAGCTGTCCTCTCCCTTGTAGGGTACTACAACAACTCAGGCCTGGCCAGTCCCCAGCTAGTCTGCCCCGAGCCCTACCCTTCAGGCAGCGGACTCTACAGACCTTCAAAACTTTCAGGGCTTGTCCCTCTGCATGCTCGGGCCAAGTACCCTCTGCACATTCAAGGCTACCACTGTAAGACTTGGGCTGGAGACTCCCATGGATATGTGGAGTGATTCCCTGAAGTCCATCCTGGGACTGCATCTGGGGAGCTCTCGGCACCTGGACTCTAGCTTGGGACCCAGCGGAAACCCCTACCCCACCAAGTCCAGGGGGCCGATTCCACCTGCAGGCCTCAGCCTTGCTGGCCGTTTCCTCAATCTGTGTTTTCTTTGGCACAGGGTCACTGGGACGCAAGACTGTCAAAAATAAGACGACTCTGTGATACTTATTTTCCCAAAGACTAAAACTGTAACACAATCGGGTCCTTTGTGTGTAGTGCGGTCCCAGGCCACCCCCTCTCCAGTTGGGCCTTTGCTACTCCAGCCAGATCCCTTGGGGCGTGAAGGGCTCTTCATTCCCTGTCTCTGGAGGTCTCTGGCCTAGGACAGGACTGGGCAGAGCCGGCAGAGCCAAATCCCACCACAGAGAGCATTCCTAGCTCACACAGCTCTTCCCTCCTCCCTTGCTAGACATGAAATGCTGTCAGAGAGCCTAGGAAGAGCAGGACACAGGACAAGCTTGAGAGTCAGAGACCCTGCTACACTCCAGCCTCAGTTTTCAACAAGACACCAGGTGGCTGTGGGACTCGGTAGTGTTGTCAGAAAAATGGGTACAATAGAGGCACCCATGACATAGGATCTGTGCAATACTCAATATAGTAACTTATTAAAAATGTCACCTTCAGGACTGGATCAATTCTCAACACCCACATGGCAGTTCACAATGGTCTATAACTCCAGTCCTAGGGGATCTATGCTCTCTTCTGGCCTCTGAGCACCCTGCATGCACCTGGTGCAGAAACACACATGTATATAAAACGCCCATACAAGCAAAATAATTTTTATAAAAAGATGACACTGTTTATACAGTTGCCTCCAGGTAGGGGTTGGCTGGGCAATCCCTCGAGTGTCTGCAGAGTGGTCCTGAACCATATCGAGGAAGGAACCATTCCCGCCTTACTCGTTGCTCATTTACCTGAGGGTGGCGCTATCCTGCCGTCTCCGAGTGGGCTCTAGGCTGGAAACTAACTCTTCTGATGCACTCTACCCTGCGACCATCAAAATGTGGCTCCTCCACTAGCCTGGGCCGCCTGCTCTGGTGGAGCAGTGGCAGGAGGGGCTGGAAGAAGGTGGCTGGGTCTCCCGAAGTTCTGCTTGCCTTGGTTCCTGCCTTGCTCCTAGGAGACTTTGGCTCCTGGGGG